GGGGGGGGGCGTGCAAATTGTAGTTAAACACAGATATTCTAAATGCCACGCTCACTCTCTGCTAAAACAGTACCTGTCATTTTTATACATGGCATGAGAAACCAGTCCAGCTCATCCAAGCACTGAAGGAATATTCAATAGTGATAGTTTTAAGTATAATGCAACGTGGTTTATTTCACACCAGTGCTCCAAACAGACCCAGAACTACATTGTCCGTAAATCTGAAAACAATTTTTCAGGGCATTGTTGGTGTATGCTGTGAATGAGTTAGGTAGTATTCAGATGTGACATTGATGTGGAAATTCTTTCTTGGGAGGATTTGTATTTTATGACTGAAGTGCGGTGTCTTCATTCCAAAGATGACGACCCAGTCACTCGAATATTTAGAACTTTTAATATCTGAGACAAACAGTAAAATTTGAAATATACGAGAAAGAGCAGATTTGTATTAATGTTCATCTACACACTTACTACTGTCTTGTCCTGGAAAGAATTCTTATTTATTTATTTATTTATTTATTTATTTATTTATTTATTTATTTTAACGTTTATTTATTTTTGAGACAGAGAGAGACAGAGCATGAATGGGGGAGGGTCAGAGAGAGGGAGACACAGAATCCGAAACAGGCTCCAGCTGTCAGCACAGAGCCTGACCTGGGGCCCGAACCCACGGACCCCGAGATCATGATCTGAGCTGAAGTCGGACGTTTAACCGACTGAGCCACCCAGGCGCCCCTGTCCTGGAAAGAATTTAAAATGGGAATTTTATCTTCAAGGTAGATCTTTGTATAGTCGTGTAAAATAGATTTATTACAGTAAACTCAATAATAAGTGAAAGAAATTTGTTTTCCCTTTATGAGGAATCGATATAGGCTGTGTTTTAGACTAAATAAAACTGGATGGAAGCAGACCCGGTTTGTTGTGATGGATGGAATACAAAGATAATTGTCATGATCACAGCTATGAAAATAATGATTTGAGTCCTGAACCCCAAAGCAGTTACTCGTTCAGTTTAAGGATAAGAAGACTATCAAGAAACTTGAAAAGAGGTCCCAGATCATAGAGGCCCAAATGAAATATATAATTTAATATTCTTAATCTCATGTTTTTCTTCTCTAGTAGTTTTGTTTTGTGTGTGTAGATTCTTGTTTTGAAGGAGTTAAAAAGCAATTTTACAACTTACATGTAATTAGAATTTTTAAATCTAATGCAGTAGTTCTCAGCCTTGTAGTTGTGACATCCTAATGTTATGAACACCAGTTAAAGTATAGGATTTGTGGAAAATTTATGTTTTAATATTAATTAGAGTAGGATGTAGGTCATCCTTAGACCGTGACTTCCACCCGCTTGCATTCACCTGTGTTTTGGAGTGGAGTGGAATTATAGTTAGCACTCCCAGGAATTGTGCGTAATCTGCAGCTTAGCAGATCTGTGCTGTAGCCTGTGTTAATATACTGTTGTTAATGCCCATTGTTAATATTACTGTTGGTGGTGGTTAGAGGGATTGCTGATTGCTGCTGTGTTTTATTTTCACATACTTCTTTTGGATCCTACCAATTTTTTTTCTTTTTTTTTTTTTTTTTTAAATGTTTATTTATTTTTGAGAGAGAGATTGACAGAGTGTGAGCAGGGGAAGGGCAGAGAGAGAGAGACAGAATCTGAAGCAGGCTCCAGGCTCTGAGCTGTCAGCGCAGAGCCTGATGCAGGGCTCGAACTCACAAACTGCGAGATCATGACCTGAGCTGAAGTCGGACGCTCAACCAACTGAGCCACCCAGCCGCCCCATGGATGCTACCAATTTCTGGCTATATCTGTAAGAGTATGTTGTGGGCATAAGAATGCCATTGATTGGTCCTAAGCAGAAGAAAGTGAGGCTGTCTGAGCTCATGATAGGAGCTTGTCCACCATGGGAAGTGAAGCTAATCTAGCAGTGGCACAATTTACCCCCCTGGGCTGATTTAGCTGATACACCTGCTTAAGTGGACACCCCCTTGTTCCTTCACAACTGGATGTGTATGCTATTACACGCTCTTAAAAGAGACAATCTTATAAAATAGAGAGGGCCCATTCTATAATTAAGTTTCTATATGTAGCTGTAGAATTCTGACAACTTCATCAATGCTAGCCTTCTCCTCAAAGAGGAATTTTCTTATCTTACATTCTGAACCAATGAACGTGCTACTTGGTTATTCATATAGTAATCACAAAAGCTAAAGTCTTAGTCATTGTTTGTGATAAATTAACTTCATTTAATTATCTGGGGCACCTGGGTGGCTCAGTCATTTAAACTTCGTTTCATTTCTCTGTCCTTTCCATGCATGCTTCCCTATGCAAACATGGATGCCCATGTAGGGTTTAGGAACTTGGGATTTCTGTTTATCCCCATAATGTTTCCATATAAGCCAGTACTACAAAACTGGTATCTTTTTATGGATGTAGGCTTCCACAGGATAGTTCTCTGTATTCAGAGTTCAATTTTATGCTGTTCTGTTATGATAAGAGGCCATCTTAGGTGTTGGTGGTCTATTTTGATGCTTCATAACCTTGTCTTAGGACATATAGAGTCAAGTATGAGAATCACAAAAGACAATTGTGGCCTTCTAGTATGGTATTTAACAAACTTTTTCTGTAAAGAGCAAAATCATAAACATGTTAGGCTTGCATTTTAGTCTGTCACAACTACTCAACTTTGCCATTGTAGTACAAAAGTAGCCATATTGTCATGCTTAAGTGAATGGGCATGGCAGTGTTTCAATAAAATTTTATTTACAAAAACAGATGGTGGACCAGATTTGGCCTGTGGGCTGTGGTTTACCAATCCCTGTTCTAGATCATTTCCCTCACTTCAGAGAGGAAGGAACTTCCTCTTAGAGAGTGAAAGTACTTTTGTTAATGTCATATGTCATTAGGGAGTAGGAAGAGTCAGGACTGGCATCCAAATCTCCTGATATCCATCCAGGTCCAGGACCAGTTCCTTTTTTTTGTTTATTATTCCATTTTTAAAATATAATTCATTGTCAAGTTGGCTAGCAGACAGTGTATACAGTGTGCTCTTGGTTTGGGGAGTAGATTCCTATGATTCATCGCTTACATACAACACCCATGCTCATGCCAAGTGCCCTCCTCAATGCCCATCACCCATTTTCCTCTCTTCCCCACCCCACCTCCATCAGCCCTCAGTATTGGGAGTAGGTGAAATACTAACTTACTTTTATATAGTTCTGAAGTGGAGAGGATTGTTACAAGCATAAATTAAAGCATTCACTAAAGTTTTGCTAATTTCATGTTCCAGCATGCTAAGTACAGTATTAAAGACTAAACAAAATGATCAGTGTACTTTCCTCATATCCCACAGAACTTTTTAGAGCTTTCACATTAATTCAGTAAAGATTGCTTCTTATTGTATTCTTAGATACTCTCAGTACACGTGCACACACACACACAAGCGTGTGCGCGTGCGCGTGCACACACACACACACACACACACACACACACACACACTCTCATCCAGCAGGAATGTGTACATCTGTTTTGCCAAAACTTAGAATGCTCACTATTCTAAAAAACAAGTGAAAAAAAGCCCCAAACTGAAAACTACCTGAATGCCCATCAACAGAATGATACATAGATTATTACATATTCACAAAATGATACACCACACAGCAGTTAGGGTTAATGTTCTGCAACGTTGAGTAAAATAGGCCAGACTTAACAAGGTCACACTGTACTGTTAGAAGTTAGGCCTCACTTGGTCGAAGGGATGATTAGAAGGCAGCTGGAGAGGGCTTCTGGGGTGCTGTTTCATAATTGGGTATGGTTTACTTGGCCGTTTTGAATTTGGAAAATTAAGCTGTAAACCTGTGCACATGTAAAAATACATATGTATATGTTCATGTATGCTTTTCTGCCTATATTTTATATGTAAATAAAAGAATATTGTCTGTAATATTAACTACCATTAAGTAAGCACTTTCTATGTGCTAGCATTATGGTAAGTTCTGTGTTATAGTTTCTTATTTGATGAAGCACAGTCTTGTAAATCTGAAAAGGACCTCTGAAATGAGAAAATTTGGTCCATGGGGCGCCTGGGTGGCTCAGTTGGTTATGCATCTGACTTGGGTTCAGATCATGACCTCACAGTTTGTGAGCTCGAGCTCACTGGGCTCTCTCCTGTCAGCACAGTGATCCTCTGTCTCCCTCTCTCTCTGCCCCTCCTCCATTCTCAAAAATAAATAAATAAACATTTAAAAAAAAGAAAAAAGAAAGCAAACTCCGTCCGATTAGTAAGGAACCTGCCTGCCGGCCCCAAGTCACATGGCAAGTTCTCGGGCACTTTGTGTGCTGACACATTGGGGTGATTCTCAGAGGTCCCTAACCACTATTGCTTGCTGTGTAAAAACACATCCATTTTTGTGGGTTTGATGAGGTGCCAATTTGAAAAATGAAATAGCTAAAAGCAAAAATCTATACACAGCAATCTTGCCAATATAATGGTTTAGAATTCCTTGGTCCGTTGTTGGTTGTCCTGGGACCACACCTTGTGAGTCAGTGATAGTAGAAGACATATTTGTCTCTCTCTCCCTAACACTGGTTTATTTTAACACTCAGAATTTCCCACTGTAGACTTCCATCTGATATCTAAGGCTAGTTTCATGCCAGAGGTGCAGATATTTACAAGTATTTTAAGAAATGAGAACTGATTTTGAGAGCAGAGTTGGAATTCCGGGAATTCTTTATTGCTAACATCAGAAATGGTTGTGATATTAGACTTGAGCAAGTCACTTTTTTTTTTTTTTTTTTAAGACTGTGTAATAAAATGGTTACAAGAGTTGTTCTCTCTAAGGTCCCTTCCTTCTCTAAGATTCTCTGAATCTTCTCTAAATGTGTCTGATAGTAGTCATGGTGGAGACAGCAGGCGGTGGGAGAAGATACTGAATTTAGAGGCCTTAAGTTTTGTAAATAAAAGCCTGATACAAATAGAGATGGTAGTCTGGACAAAAGGGCAGGTTGTATTTTAAAACTAATCTTTTACATACTCTTTTTTCATTAAGCATTGATTTAACAAGAATTTATTGAGTATGTTCCAGATGCTGTGCTGTGCTTTGTGTTTTTTCCCCTTTTCATTGGCGCTTAATTTCCTTTTGAAAAAGCCCCTTGGGTAATAGCAAATATTGTTCAAAGCACTGTGATTGCAAGAGATTGCAGAGTGCTTAAGTGCACAACACTGGTCTTCCTGGACAGTGAAGATTTGCTGATTCATCTTTATATTTTTTTCCCCCCCGGATTCTGTTTAGGTCCCCAAGCAAGAACTATTCTTATGCAATCAAGTTTACCACAGGCTCAGCTGGCTTCAATTTGGTAAGGAATGAAAAGTTCCTTGGTTTGTATAAAGTGGCTTACATTGGTATGGCTTAATGGGTCTTCAGATTGATACGATTATTTATAGATGGGGACATAGGGATTGTGCTTAATTTTCCAATCAGCTGTGATGATTACCTCTCTTTTCCCCCTTTTTGATTTTGAAAAATACAAAAGCAGAGAGATTAATGAATGCTCAAGAACTCCTAACACAGTTTAAGTAAGTCTCAACTTGTGTCTGCCCTGGTTCTCCCCTCCTCCTTCCTGGTTATTTTAAGTCAGATCTCAGTGATTATATCATTTTCATCTGCAGATATTTCAGCCTGTATCTCCAAAAGGGATTTTTTTTTTAAGAGGACTATAATATCAGTAGTCGAATAAAAAATTTTCAATAGTAATTCTTATTAAGTTAATCAGGTAGTGTTCAAATTCCTTAGGTTGACTTGTGATTTTTTTGTAGTTGATTGGTTCAAACCAGATGTAAATAAATCTATATTTTGCATCAACTCATTGACACGTTTAAGTGTTCTAAAAACTTCCCCTTGTTCTCCACCCTCACCCCCGAAAAGAAAAACCTGGATATTTTGTCCTATAGTTTCTCCACTCTAACTTCTGATGGTTGCATCCTTGTGTTAATTTATTCCTGTGAGTAGATTGGTCATTGGATCTAGAGCAAGGTTTCTCCACTTAACACTGTTGGCCATTTGGGCCCCATACTTTTTTGTTGTCGGGAGCTGTTCTGTGTATTATAGGTTGTTCAGTAGCCTCTCTGGTCTCTACCTACTAGATGCCAGTAACATGACCCCCATCCCCAGGTGTGACAAAGATGTCTCCATATACTGACAAATGTCCCTGGGATACAAAATCATCCCACTCATGAGAACCACTCATCAAATTCAAGTTTGATTTTTTTTTTTTTTTTTTTTTTTTTTTTTTTTTTTTTTTTTTTTTTTTTTGCAAGACTACATGAGAGATATTACTGTGTACTTCCACTGGGGGGAGGAGGGAGGGCACATAAATGTCTCTGGCTATTTTGTAATGATTTTTAATAGCTTGAATTGCTTTAATTGCTTACATGCGAGGTTCATGATTTTGCCGTAGGGCCCATTGATATGGTTGCTTCATAAGTCGTCACGCTCTAGTGCTAGTCCCTTCACCCATCCTGGTTCCTTCTGCTTTGTGTTAAAGGATCTTCCTTTTGCAATCGAATAATAATAGACCAGTTAATAAACACAATAGACCAGTTAATACGACACATCCAGATCTTTTTAAGTCTGGGTATGTGCCAGTATCCTAGGGCCCTCTGAAATATAAACTTGAGATCTAACATTTATGGAGGTTGACTGGCAGTTTATTAGGTATGTTTGTGACACTGGAATATATTGAAATGCTTAAGTTTCTCACTTATAACCTGCTCTCTCTGAAAAAAAATACTTGAGACTTATCCTGCTAGAGTATTATTATATTCCCTTTCTATACAACAAAAAGGTATTTTAATTAAACGTTTACAGCGATTATTTAAGCAAGTAGCGGGGGGGAAAAAGAACTCCACTGCCTTCTAATCGAATTTACCCAGGAGTGGCTGGTGATGGGGCATGGGAAGGAGGAGAGGATAAGAAAGAGCTGGCAGGAACCTGGCATCTGGAAATTACAAAGCTAGAGGGACAGAAAAGAGATCAGTGGCTGCCAGGGGCTGTGGGCAAGGCAAGGGGGTGACTGAGAGACTTGGGGGAATTTTGGGTGGTGATGGAACTATTGCGTGTGGTGTGATACACAGCTGACTGAATTCAGTTACACAACTGAATCTGTCAAAACTTGCAGAACTGTGCTCTAGAAAGGGCAAATGTCACTGCATGGACATTATACCTTAAAACTGAAAACCAAAACGGCGTATGCCACCTAAGGAAGTTTTAGACTTAAGAGGAGTTTCTTGATTTATGGCCTCAGCAGAGCCAGTTTCCCAATGCAGTATCTGTCCTGTTCTCATTCTGGTGAACGGCTTTGTTGTCTGGCATCCTCTTTTGGTGTTGTTAAGTGAAATCACATTCTTGGACTTGCTGGAAAAATCTGTTCACTGTCATTAACTATTAGGGCATGTCGATTATGGGGAATGGTGGCCGTTGATCTTGAGATTAAGGAGCAGCAAACACCTTGACTCTGAGGCAGAAGGCCATAAGGATCCACCCTTGTAGGTCTAGGTCAGCCACAGGCCAACTAACCTAAATGGGTGGAACCTGGCCTGCGTCTGTTTTTAGAAGGTTTTCCGCTCATTTATTTATGGATCGTCCACGGCTGCTTTCCTGCTGCAAGGGCAGAATTCAGTGTGATAGAGACCGTGTCTTGGAAAGCTTAAATGTTTACTATCTGACCTGATAGTTTGCCGAGCATAGTGTTTAAAGACACATAAAATGTGGGTATGATGCATTTTAAATGGGCTGGCAGGGATTGAGAAAAGCATAATTATAATCATAGTTAACATTTGCTGAATGCCATCCCAACTGTATGGATTGTCTCATTTTTATCTTTCCAACAGTATTATGAAATAGGCACTATTTTTATAAACCGACAAGGCATAGAGAGACTCAATTGGCCTAGAGTCAGAATAAGAAAACAGAACATTTCAATCACTCATGAATAGTAACAAGCATGCATTTTCGTGAAGTTAGAAAGTAATTAACTTTTTTGAATAGGAATCTTTCTGACATTGATCAAGATGGAAAACTCACAGCAGAAGAATTTATCCTGGCTATGCACCTGATTGATGTAGCGATGTCTGGCCAACCACTGCCACCTGTCCTGCCTCCAGAGTACATTCCGCCTTCCTTTAGGTAAAGAACATTTGGCTCTTATAAGAAACTGTGTGTTTGGTATGTGAATTTCAAACTGGGCTTTGTTGGCTACGTATCTTTTGCTCATTTTTATTCCTGGTAAGTAAATGAAATATCCATGAAGTGAAGAAAATCTTATCTAGGCCCTGTGTTAATCTTGGACCTGTTCTTTAAAGTATTTATAGTATATTAGTAAAATACCAAAAGAGGGATGATTTTTGTACCAATCTATATAGTCAAAGTTCAGCAAAAATGTTAGCAGTTAAAGTACAACTAAAATAACTTGTATGTAGACAACAAGGCAGGGAGGGATGCCTGGGTGGCTCAGTCAGTTAAGCATCCAACTCTTGATTTTGGCGCAGGTCATGATCTCATGGTTGTGGGATTGAGTCCCACATGAGGCTCCCTGCTGAGCATGGAGCTGGCTTGGACTTCTCTCTCTCTCCCTCTCTCTCTGTCCCTCCCTCCCCCCAAAAAACAAAAAATAAGAGAAAAGAAGGCAGGGAAATTCTGCCTGTGAATTCTATACATTGGATAGGCAACAAAATACTGGCAATGTAGAAATTATAGTCAGGAAGCTAATTAAAGAAAATTATCCTAGTCTGAAACACAGTTTCAGTAGAGATATCAAGAGTAGACCAAGGTCCAGTTGGGAGAGATCTGCGGTGACTGGTATCCTCTACCTACACACACCACACACACCTCCCCTCCCAGACAACGATGTCTTTAGGCTTTAATTTAAAAGACAAACATGAAATCTTACAAGCACAAAGAACAGAAAACACACACACACACAAATAAGACTTTCTGGGAAAGCCGAGGGGAAGGAATCCCCACAAAAAGAAAAGAAACGGTGCTGCTGCTGTGAGCGCATACATGGAGTGAGCTGAGAAAATTGACTGTAGGAAGAAATGGTAGTTGGGCGGTTTGTAAGGTCTGACAGTTGAAAAAATCACCACAAGAGACACAAGGCTGGAAGCTGATAAAAAAAAAAAACCAAAAAAAAACCGCGTTAAAACAAAAAGGTAGATTGGTTTCAAAGAGCAAGGTTAATGGTTTAAGGTGAAACTAATCAGGCAACTAAGTGATTTGTTTTAGGGACTGTAAAGTGTAGAGATTTCATGTGTTTATTATGAGATAAAATGGAAAAAAAGATTTTGTAAGGGGAAGAGAGAGGCTTCCATTCAGCTGAGCTGCTAATCTTCCTTGATGGATTTCATGTTCCATAAAAGGGTAATGGTAACAACAGTGAACTCTTGATTGTGGACCCAGGCACCGTTCTAGACACACGATGCCTAGACTGAATTAATAATAATAACAATAATTAAAGATTAGACACTCAATGATTATTCACTAATTCAGTCCTTAGCAATTGCCCTGATTTAGGTGATAATTCTAAATATCCAAATAAGCTTGGCACTTAGCCTCTGGTAGCATTCATGTACTCATTTTTAAAAACCTCTTTGTAAACAGGACCAGATCTTTATCTTTTCCTCACGATACGTGAGATTTTCTCCATGATGTGGCATCATCTTTAAAAATTCTTTTCCACCGTTGGCTCGGTGCTACCTAGACGGCTTTGTGTGAATCCATTTTTTTTTTGCTTTGTTTCCCCAATTGCAGACGAGTTCGATCTGGCAGTGGTATATCTGTCATCAGCTCAACGGCAGTAGATCAGAGGTTACCAGAGGAACCAGTTTTAGAAGATGAGCAACAACAGCTAGAGAAGAAATTGCCCGGTAAGGCAGTCTTTCCATTTCAGTTACATCATATTAGAGGTTTTCCGCCTCTAAGGCAAAGATGGGGGTAAAAAGAAATGTAGCTTCTGACATTCTTGCTGTATTCCCTTTAACTGACCTTAGAAAGGAGACACTTTTAACATGTTTTGGATTTGACTATAGGTAGAGAAATAAGAACATTACGGACTTGGCTACTTTTAAACTAAAATCTGATTATTTACCAGCAACCAAAAATTTTATAGCTGTTATTTATAGAACACTCAAAGTTGGTAAACCTTTACAGTGCTTGCTTAGTACCACCAGTGCCAAAATAGGATGTAAAACTGCCTCTTGTTATTTTCTCACACTGTTATAAGAAAATTGGAAACTCCTTAATAACAGGAAGCTATTTTAAATTTGGTAAGAACCTATTTTAAAACACCTTCATTGGAGCGTCTGGGTGGCTCAGTTGAGTGTCCAACTCTTGATTTTGGCTCAGGTCATGATCCCAGGGTCCTGGGACTGAGCCCCGCGTCAGGCTCTGTGCTGAGTGTGGAGCTCGCTTAAGATTCTCTCCCCACCCCCCGCCCCCTGCCTCTTTCTCCTGCTTGCACTCTCTCTCAAATTAAAAAAAAAAAAATATGCAAATAAATAAAATTTAAAAATCCTCATCTATAATAATAAGCTCATCACACTATTAAAATATTCTAGAGCGGCTATGAATTATTGATAATGAGATGATAATTGATACTAAGAGGCAAATGAAATTTATTATGGAGTCTCTCTATATTAATTTTCATATTTTCTTATATTTGTCAGTGTCATTTAGCTGCATTTAAAGTGCTCAGTGGTTAACTAGCCTGCTCAGGACACTAGCTCTCCCGATTTCCTCTTTAAATTAAATTTTTTTTCTATTTACTGATAAACTTCTTATTGATAATGTTCTTTGTGTGAAGCTATGTGTTGAGTACGGTGAAGAATTTAAACGTTAACAGTGTGGTCCGCACCATCAAGAAGGTTATAATAGAATTGAGGATTTAGGGCATCCATAGAAATAATCACCAAAGCAGTACCTAAGTGTGGTAAAGTCCTGAAGACAGTAGCATAGATGCACAGCACAGCTTACTTACGCGGGTTGGCATAGACTGGGAAAGGCATGAGGTAGAAATCTCTGTGCAGGAGGTCTCAGTCACGTTGAGACTGAAGATGAATAGGGTCATTACAAGTGGGAAGGAAGAACATTTCAGGTTGGTAATAATGGGAATGAAGTCTCAAAGGCAAATAAGGACAGGAATCCTTTGAATATGGAATTTTCTTTTCCTGTTGGTAGTTAGACATTCATTTAGAGTTCTGAACAGGAAGTGACATCATTGGTTTTTTGTTCATGCATTCTTTCTTTGAGTGGCCATTTATTATGTGCCTCCTCTGTAGCAGAAACAGGGCCAGGTATTGGAACTAAGATGTGTAGGGACCTTTAGGGTTTTTTTTTAAATTGGGGTAAAATTCACATAACAGAAATTTGATCATTAAAAAATATACAGTTCAGGGGCGCCTGGGTGGCGCAGTCGGTTAAGCGTCCGACTTCAGCCAGGTCACGATCTCGCGGTCCGTGAGTTCGAGCCCCGCGTCGGGCTCTGGGCTGATGGCTCAGAGCCTGGAGCCTGTTGCCGATTCTGTGTCTCCCTCTCTCTCTGCCCCTCCCCCGTTCATGCTCTGTCTCTCTCTGTCCCAAAAATAAATAAACGTTTAAAAAAAAAAAAAAAA